GGGTGCCTTGGGAGGAACGGTTGGTGAAAGGGCTGGAGGGAGGCAGCATGTCTGGCCTTGCAGTAATAGGCCTTGGGTTACTGCTGGTAATCCTGCCTTCCCCTTGTAGGGTTAGAGGAGGTCAGAACATGTGGCCTCCTTGCCGTTTTTGCAGATCCCTACCAAATGGTGATCTTTTAAGACAAAAGGAAGTAAGAAAAAATGCTGTCTTACTATAATTAACGGAAAATTGAGTGGATCCCTATCATAAAAGAACTGCAAACAAGTCCTCTTCACTGTAGGAGATCTCTTAAGTAGCCAAAACGGAATCACAATGGGACTCACTTGGGACAGACTGGGGAAATACTTCCTCCCCTAGCCAGAGACTTAAAGTCTACGTCTGGTCAGTTGGGCAGAGACCTTGTGATTTCCAAAATCACTTGATAAAATCTTAAAATAAATAAATTTAACCCTTTATTGTGATTTGGGTGAAAGTTTACACACCAAATTGATTTTCCATTCAACAATTCATACAGATTTTGTGACATTAACCTGCAATTATGTGCATATTCCAATCACAGTCTTCTCTCTGCTTCTGCAGTCCCATCTGAAAGAGTGAACTGCCTGGCTACCAACCATGATCTTGTGATGATTCCCTTTGTTCCTATCATAGGTATGACACCATGACTGTAACTCTGTGGATTCCATCACCTTCTGTACTGTGTGCATGCCGATGGCTTCCCTCTGGATTATTATTTGTCTTTTCCTATTTTAAGCTTAATGGGCTCTACAGAACATTTTTGAATCTGGTGTCTTTTTACCTAGCACAGATGGATATTAATATTGGCTATTATAGCTAACAGGGACCATGTAACTTGGCCTTCAGCCAATACTTGATTGGACATACTAAAAAGGGAAGTAGGTTTGCCCCAAAGAAACACAGGCTGCTCGTTTGACTGCATTAGCCTTGTGTATTGAGTACTGAGGGCTTAAGGAAAAATATATCTGAGCCACACCCAAAGCCTTTGGAGTCAGGAAACTTGAATTTGAAAGGACATGCAGCAGGGAAAATTGACTGTTTTATAATTTTGAGAAAGTGGTTTGCCACTGGATGCACTGAGGCAGGAAAACCCAGTGACCATCAGAAGAAACCCTTATAGCATCCAAAGTTAAAGAAGCCAGCAAATAGACAGGCTGGTATGCTCGCTGTGGTGACAACCCGGGTCCATTCACTGAATGGAAATAGCACAGGACTCCTGAGTCTACATACTGACCTAGCTCACAGGGGCTGGGAATGAGTTGATCGGAACTCTATCAAATTAAGATGCTTGACACCTTGAGCTGGTGTAGATTTCTATGATTTGATGGCTTGCTCTAGACTAGACTTTACTAATGGATGTAGACGCTCAAAATTTCCAAATAGAACAGAAGATTCTTCAGATCAAAGAACATGCTAGGCTTCTCAAGAGTACTGGTTTGAAAGGGCCTGGCAAGTGAAACAGTGGCCATCTTAAATGGGGGATGTAAAGGCATGAAGTAGCTGGCTTACAGGCTTTCATGAGTGTGCTTATATGCAAGATGGGGCAAACATTCCCAAAGAATAGATTCTTTACCTGATGGATTTGAGGAAGAGAAGGTTGGCGAAGATTATATAATTCAGTTGAGAGTGTTGTTAACAGGGGTAACTATGATTGTAAAAACTAATTGTAGAAGTAGTAATTGTAAAAGTGTAGACTGGGGGTGGGGTAGAGGCGGGCAACTGCTGGACTGGAGTACAGGGGCCAAACCTAAAGTCCCTTAAAGGTTATGCTATACCTATACGTCATGAAGCTCGAAGCAATAGAATAATCTTCTTTGTTAAATTTTATCAGAGGCCAGAAAAGGTGAAGGTGATTTTAGGGGAATATGACCAAGTCAGGTGGATACCTGCAGCAGACCTGAATTCTTGGCACCCGAGCAACCTTACCATTAGGACTCTTTGCCCTACTGAAGGCCTAATTGTCAATGACTGTCTTGGATTGGTAAAATGACTTGGGGGGGGGGAATTATCCTCCAAGTAGGAAAGAACAATGGCTAAAAAGTCAGAGGCTGGCCTATGGTGTGATGGATCCTTTATGTGGCCTCTCTCAACATGGTCTTTTAACTCCCATCAAATGTCTGGGTAGCACTATGCAGATGAGGTGCTTGTGGCTCACCAAAGGGACTGGACAGCTTGCTGACAATGCAAATAAGGTGCATGGCACCCTTAGGGTGGTGGAACCATGCAAATAAGGTAGATGGAGCCCTAATGAGGGGATTAATCAGGTTTGCCATCCTGTGAGGCTTACAGTGAGCCATCTCAGGTAGACTACCACCAAGAAAGAAGAGATTGGAGCAGAGCATGTCCTTTGGATCTGGGACCCCTGTGCTGAGATTCTCCTAGACATAGAGCGAGCTCTAACACTGGAGATGGTGAGAAATAGTGTCAGAGAAATAGCAGCAGCAGAACCAGGAGAGGGGCAGGAAATGGCACAGTGGGCTTGTAAGCCCATGGAGCGAGAAAGCTGAGCACCTTTGGGTAAAAGGCTTGCTGGTGGAGTGGGGTGCCTCTGGGCACTTATCAGTGAAGCTACAGAGCGTTATAACACTTGCCTGCACAGGGCAGAGGCTGTGCTGGTTCAAGAGGCCCGACAGGCTCGGGGCTGGGGCGAGGCCTGCCTGTGGGCATGGCCAAGAAGCAGTCCCAAACAAAGAAACGTATCCTGAGTCGTTCATCCTGAGTTGTAATCTGTTACTTCCCTAACAATCCCCATGATCATGAGTGTTGGGGAGAGAAATGAAATGATAATTTCTAGGTAACAATCACAAATGGATTGCTAGCAGATGACTAGTATAATACTTATAAACAAATTCAACAACACAGTACAATACTTGTGGTTATTTGTTAAAGTATAGACTGTGCAGTTATGAGTCAAATGGGCTAGGTTCTGAGGATACAGCAGAGAATAAGAACCCATCACGGAATATGACTAAATATGGGAAAAGAATTTCTTATAACTTAGATTTTTCTAAGTTTATAAAAAACACATCAACAAAATGAATTGTACCTCATTTTCAAGGCTGGTTGCTTGACAGAATGCACACTGGTCTGCTGAAAGTGGTGTCATGTTACTCAAACCAGCATCACACAAAAATGGTGTTGCTGAGTGAAATGGCATGTTTCACCTGGCATTCCTGAGAGGTACTCTATTGCACAAATGTGTCTATTAAAACCTCTGATTCTGCCCACTGTTTTTTGAAATAACCCAGTCACACTGACACAACTGCAGAAGATAAGTCTCTTGATGTATATTACTTACATGATATATGTTACTGTACATGACTCTCAGGTGGCCCTGGCTTTAGGGCTTATTTCAAGGCATTTTTATTTAGGCCAACTTACCAGTAATAGGAATCATAATATTTACTGTTTTCTTCACTACTTAACATGTTTCCCAACTAGTAAGTACAGGAAATATATTTATGGACAGTAATGCAAGCAGAGTCCCTTGGTGGTACAAACTGTTAACATGCTTGGCTGCTAACCAAAAGCTGGAAGTTCAAGTCCACCCAGAGGCAGCTCAGAACAAAGGCCTGGCAATCTACTTCCAAGTGATCGTCTGTGGAACACCCTGTGGACCACAGTGCTCCTCTGCCATACACGGACTCATGAATTACAGTTGACTTAGTGGCAACTGAGAAAAAGTAACAGAAGTACTCCAACTTATTTATGAGATCAGTGTCAGAACTATGAATTACAAACACTTGGGAGATATGGACCATGTCTTAAATTACTTTTGCACACTCCTCAGTGTCCAGCACAATAGTGTGTGTGTGTGTATATATATTTTTATATATATATAAGTGATACACTGTATTTAGTAAATATCAAGTAAGATTTCATTTTGGGATTTCTGCAGACATAAGCCAATTTAAAAAAAATTCTAGTCTAATAAATGAAAGGCACTTGTCATAAACTGATTACAATTCAGAAAGGTTATTAAATTAAGATTAGAAGTGGTAATGAGTTCTGATATGTTCATGAAAAGTAGAATCCAAGATAAGGGGATAACCAGTATATTCTAGAAAAAAATCCGGAAGAGAATACGAGGAATAGGTTTAGCATTGAAAATGAAGAAAGCCTATTACTTTCTATATAAATCACAGCTATAAATAACATTTATGACAAAGTATGGGGGAAAGGTAGAGTGATATTTAAAAAAATAAAATTACCACACACAATAAAGCATAATCCTAATAGATTTTTCGAAAAACAGAAGTTTTTTTTTTTTTTAAAAATTCAGTGACCTCTTTTGATCAACTGGCATTTTTGCCATTCCATACACTCTGAATTATAACAATCACAAATTAATTATATTTTGTTAAAATGCAAAAGAGAAAATGTTGATTCTTTAATTTTGAACAACTCAGAAACGAAAAGATCCCATCCCTGTACTTGTATTTGATTTTCTTATAAAAATAACTTCAATCATTCTGATAATATTTATCTGCAAAAGCTAATCTCTGACAGTACAGTAATAACTGGCGTAACCACAGGATCACTGTGAGCTCTAGTGAAACAAATCTTTGATGTGATTTTTTTCTATTTGAACAATGGAGACATTGAACAAGAGTGGATAATCAGAACTATGAAGAAAAAAGGTAAACGTAAGTGAAGTATACAGGAAGCTCAGAAGACATTAAAATATTACAAAAATAAGCTGCTATCACAGGGCAATTTTTCACAAAGGCAGTTTCAGAAAATAAATAAACACATTGATCTTTAAAATAGAGAACTCAAAATACTTGATATATTTAGGATACTCTACAATGACCAGTTAATAGCTGTACAGTTTTTCTTAAGTTCTTCTGGATGCTATAACAATTATGGGATTTGTTTACTTATTTTAACAAAATTTTTTTCTCAACTGTGAAAAATTAAAAACAATTCATGCTTTTCAAAAAAAAAAAAAAAAAATAAAAAAATCTTTTCACTGTAATATAACATGAAAATAGGGTATTTGTTTATTTTCCCACACCATGAGTGTTTTTCAAATATATGGCCAGACGTAGTTTTAGAAAGTTAGGTGAGTGAAAACCAAGCTGTGCCTGTTAAGGACAGCATGACACTTTAAGTGAAAAAGTCGATTTTGTATATCATGTTTGAAAAAGTCACCTTAAATATCAGTTCCAGGAATCAGAAAGTTATGGCTCATGGACTTTTTGTATGGCTCTGAGCTAAGAATGATTTTTACATTTTTAAAATGGGTTGTTGGGGGCAGGGAACCAACTTAAGAAGAGTATATGACAGAGACCATCTACGGTCTGCAAAGCCTAAAATATTTATGATCTGGCTTTTCCAGAAAAAGTTTAAAGACCCCTGATTTATACTAATGTTGTACAGAAGTCAGGCAGTGCAATTTTAAGTCCCAGGTAAGTTCATTTTTCTTCCCCACCATGAATGAAAAAGGTGTCTTCTGATGTCATCTGTAAGAATTTCTTCAAGCATCTCTACCTTCAACAACATCAAAGTTCATCCTGTAATAGTGATGTAAAAGATAGTCAAGAGAAAAAGAAATAAGCATGAGTTTATAATGTTAAAAAACAAGGTAACAGGATATATACGAATAGACACTTCACCTTTTCCAAAATAATTAATATTATTATTTAATGGATCAATACATGATATACATCTCGCCTAACTGTAATAACAGGGGAAAAAAGAGTATCTCATAGATTTTATCTGACCACAGCAGACACTAATGACTGCAGTTTTACATACTTTCACAGTAATATTTGGCATGCATGGTTTTTAGCTTAATTCTAAACTTCTGGCTTATCAACGAATTAAGTAACATAACCAAAACATCAGAAAAAACATTTTTCTTTACTGAAATCAAGAAAATACAGATTCTTACCTATCTTTTAGATTTGGATAAAATGTAATTTTTAAAGCAGGCTGTAAAGGCTATATATATCAGGCTCTGCAGTTCTTAAATGCATCATAACAGAACTTTATTCTACTATGGTTCTATGAAGCCAGACTTCTCCAGTTCTTTCTAGAGGCTGGGCTGCTCTTTTGTCCTTCTTTGGCCTTACAGGGGAAGAATCCCAGATACTTCATATGTGATTGTTTCAAACTCCATTTAGAAAGCATTTCAATATTCACGGATTCTTAGTCTGTCTCTAAGTAAAAAATTTTAATTGTAGAATGACACTGATTTAAAAAAGGAAAAAATGAACAATCTGTCTTAAGGAAATAGCAAGAGCACTGCTTCTTGACAGATTAAAAATTCAAAGATAGGCCAAGATGAATATGGGGTCCAACACATCCTGCCTATACCAAGAACAAAAGAATATTTGTTATTCAAATTTGTTATGAGGCTTCAGTATGCTTATTCTGAACAATTCAACACTCTACATTTAAATCAAATTTAAATAACTTATAGTCACAGTCACTATTTTTTGTTAAATGGTTTTTATTTGTCCAAATTTCTAAGCATTTCAGTCTAAAGGGCACATTTTGTATGTTGTATTCTGAAAAATAGAAAATTTCCAAGTATTTTATTATTTCTGAAGCTTCATTTTATCTGCTTATTGACATATGTAATGAGTAACAATAATTTGATAACCTTTACTAAACACTGCTGTAGTCCTTACCTTATTTCTCTTTCCTTGATTTTGTAGAGTTTCCAATTTTTTATATATCAAGGCAGCAATCTCTCTTGCATCTCTCACATCTATTTGCTCTCCCCAAATATTTTTCTAAAAAGAAAACTCTTCTTATAATCTTGGGTATTTAATGAAAGCATGACATTTCCATCTAGTTATGGCTTTAAGTATACCTAAATATTACTCTTCCAAATCACAATTAAGGGGAAAAAAATTGTTTTGTTCCAAAAATTTGTCTGAAACTCAAATTTCTTCCAGGAAATACATGATGCTACATAAGCACAGTTTACTCATAATGGACCTGAAATAAATACTAATAATCATGTTATGGGACCATGTAAAACAATTTCTTGAGAAAAACATATTTCTAACTCAGAATGACTCAAAACATGTATTTATTTTAAGAAAAGACGTTCCCAGAGGACTTAAGTCACTTCAGTCTAATACAGTCATTGGCACTGATGAAACCTTGAATAGCTACAGCAATGGAAAGCAATGTGTACCTGCTACTTCTGACCTGCCCAAATGATGAGGTGGCAGAGAAGGGCACAGATTATTATACCCAGACTACTTACTCTGAATCTGGAACCACCTATTGGCTCATGCTTGGTGTGAACCTAGACCCCAAAGTGTATGCTTTTACTTCTGTGTGTTAACTCTCAGTCTGTGTATTTGTGACTTGCAATAACCTGTTTATTGTAATCATTTTCTGCATTTGTCTGCCCATCAGTTCTAGAGGTCTGGATGCCATTCCTGGTTTTTCGTGGTTAGGATCCAAAATGTTAGGACATTTTGGGTACTAACCATGGCCTCTGGATCCCTCAGTACATACGGTATCATCTTTTCAAATGAACCCCACCCCTCCCAGTAGGCTGGTTAAATGTGTGACTGACTGTTCATTATGACACTTCCCTAACATCATTCTACCTGAAAAAAGACTGTATTTATGTTACCCCTTTCTCAGTTGCTGTTAAGAGTTGTGAGGTGGAGCTGTTGATTCCAAAGGAATGAACATTCAGGCTCTGGTATAAAGTTCTTTTACCACCCTACTGAGTTTGTCTGTCTCAGACTGTTCTTAAGATACAGGTTTTTTTTTTCTTTTTTCTTAAGAGATAGGTTCTTAACAAATCACAAAACTTCACTGAAAAATCTAGTTGTCTAACACCTAGATGATACCTAATTTCTTTATTTAGCTCTATTTCAAAACATATATATATAAACCAAACCAAAGTCATTGGCATTGAGTTGATTCCAACCCATAGGGTTTCGAAGGCTGTACATCTTTACAGCAGACTGCTTCATCCTTTTCCTGTGGAGCAGCTGGTGGGTTGGAATTACCAAACTTCTGGTTCACAGCCATACGTGCTAACTACTGCACTACCAGATTTTCCTATGTTATATATATGCAAAAAACGCACTGCCGTTGAGTCGGAGCCAACTCATAGTGACCCCTCCTTGGGTTTCCGAGGTGGTATCACTATGGAAGTAGACTGCCCAACCTTCCTTCCGAGGAGTGGCTGGTGGGTTTGAACCACTATCCTTCTCATTAGCAGTCAAATGCCTTAGGCACTAGGCTACCAGAGCTCATAATAATACCAGATTTTAACCTGTTTTTTTTTTTTTTTTTTCAAAAAGTATAAAGTACATTTTAAATTATTTACAGTACTTTATTAGAAAACACGAATACATGATATATACTAGTTTAGTTTCCTACAGTTCTATTGTTGAACATGTCTTAGGTTTTTACTTAAGAAGAGGGCAAAGGTCAGGAGTACTTTCGTCAGCAATTACACTGGCTGATAGACATGCTCTGTATCAATTATCCTAAAGGTTAGCACATGAATTTCTTTATGACCCACTGGTAGGTGACAGTATTCTAAGAAAAAAGAAAAAGAGTATTGGCAGTGGCCCTAAAAAGTAATCATGACTGAGCCAAGGAAACCTAAATTTATTCTGTAATTTAAACTGTTATTAAATATCCTTCAATATAAATACTCAGGTACTAAGACTCATGAGAATACAAATAAATATAACTAAATTTGTAGTGCAAAAATAGTATTTTTATAGTTAATGTCCTTGAAAATTCACCTCCAGTGTGAGTTACCTAAATAGGCACAAATAAGTTATTTTCTTCCTTTTGAGCACCATACTTGCTGATTGTGAAGAATAAGGGAAGGGTAATCCCCGCTTATGGATGTAAGGCTCAATTTCTTCAGACAAAGGTAACTGAGCTTAAGAATACTGGCTTATTATATGCTCGGTAGTGTACTTTCTGTAAGTTATTCAACAACTACTGGTTTGCTCTGAGTAAAAAAATACTGAATACTGTAGGTTATATTTTGCTTCTCTCTCTGATTCTTCCTTAGGCAGGAATATTATATATAGACTAAAGGGTAAGGTAATTAAATACGATTAATTAAACTATTAAAAAATTAGGTAAATTATTAACTAGATTGTTCATCTAAACCAGAAATAACAGATAGCTAAATATGGCCCACACATCCACTGTTTGACCCATGGTGTTTAAACACGTTGATCACTTGCCAATATTTAAAAATAATGAGATTTCATATCTAACTAATATTCTGGCTTCTCTTGAAACATGGGAAGAACTTGTGATAAGGGCCTGCATCACCCACAAGATCTGAGGAGGTGGCATGTGCTCCAGGTGATCACAACTGCCATTCCCCATCACCCCAGGCAAGAGGTAGTCATTTGTGTGACTTTTTCCCCTCCTATAGGTAGGTGAGTGTGTGATCCTATGCTGTCTGTCTTTCTCTATCATCTATTTTTGGATGATAGTTTATTTAAAAAAAAAAAAAAAAAAAAATCCTTTTTAGGCCATGGCTCTTAATAACAAGAGGAAAACACAATTATTTCGATCACTATGCTTCTATAATCACTAATGCTACCACAGCACCTGAGTAAAGGAGGAAGGATGAAAACAGACGCGGGTAAGTTTTTACAAAGAGTTTATAAATGGGCACAGGTGGGAGGAAGTTGCAGTAGTTTGGTTTTAAACTTCTTGATTTTCTTGATAAGTTGAGTTAATTTGTATGAACAGGAAACTCAACTCCCACCCCACCACCACAGATACCTATATCCACATACGTGGACAGACCATCTTTGCTCCCCACAAGAACGCAAAACACAATCCCACACAGACTCATCAAACAGGTATTTCAAAGAATTATTTACTTAGTATCTCCATGGAATGCTAGAATTGGAGAGTTCTTAGAGATGATATAAACCAAACTTTTTGCTTCATAAATTAATGAACTAGTCTTGAGAATGTGGTTTCTAAAAAATCATAAAACAGGCTGAACACCAGGTCTCTCAGTCTATTGTAACTTCATTATACTATGGTGCTGTTTTAAGACTCAAGATGTTGACAAGGGGCAAACTTGTAGCTCTAAATGGCAATATGGCAAACCATTACACAAATAAACCATATTACTCACATTCTAAGATAATGAGATCTCTCTCATACACACACACGTGTGTGTATAAATTAATGCTCATTTCTTAGTTTCCCATTTTATTAGGAGTAGCGAATAATAATTTCAAAGTAGAGATGCAATGGACAACATCTTTCACCAGAGTGAGTTTTACTTGGGAGGAGGCTCAGATGGAAGAGTACAGTAAGTTCTGGAGAAGTTAGCAGATGTAAGACAACAAACAATCCTTTTTCACAGAATTAAAAAAAAATGAACCACCACCATGCCAACAAGTCAATCAACCAAGCAATCTGATGTTTTTTTCCTGGGGTTAAAAGAAGTAATAAACTGCTGTTTCTTCTTTCTCTCTGCCCTTCTCGTTCCCCTTCTTTCTCTTTTGAGGGGCAGGAGGAGACAGGTTTAGGAGCTCTGGTGGTGCTGTGGTTAAGGCACTGGGTTGTTAACCAAAAGGAGTGGTTTGAACTCACAAGGTGCTCCATGGGAGAAAGACTAGACAGTCTGCTTCTGTAAAGACTAACAGCCTTGGAAACCCTACAGGGGTTGCTAGGATTCAAATCAACTCAGTGGCAGTGGATTTGTTTTTCTGGTTTGGAAACAGGCTTTTGAAAAGTACTATGATAGTATATTCTCTTAAATGTTTTTCTCTTTATGAGAAAAAACCAATTATAAAATTAATAAATGTTAATTCTAGAAGAAGTAAGAAATACAAAACTTCACAGAAAATAAATTACCTTGAATTCTACCACCCACTGAAAGACCACTATTAATATTTTCTAGTAGTTTTCCTACTTATAAGTATAAAAATTTTAAGACACTGAGATTGTATCAACTATGAGATGAAAAAAATCTTTTAAGATCACTTAATTTATATGTAAGTAAGTAAATTAATATTCAATAATATAAAAAAATGACAGAAGGGAGATGAAATTAGAAAAAGGCAAATCTCATTTTGAGGGTGGCCTGCTAAAGGAAAGGGACACAGAAGCCTTGTACGTACCTTTGCTCGTTCATAGGGATAAAATTTAACAGTTGGATAGGCTCTGATACCAGCGTTTTGGCATGTTTGAGCATAAGTCTGACAGTCGACTTTTCCAGCTTTCACTTTTCCTTTAATCATCTGAAAAGAGAAACATACAACCTGCCATTTCCTCTTAGACATAAATTGTTTTGGCAACCACAAAGCTACTACTAAAAATTTCAAAGCTTTCTAAGTCTAAGGATTAGATATTTCAAAAACTTAAGCTTTTATTCTTCTTCAAAAAAGATAGCTTCCAGACTTTTTCTGGCTCCTTAAACCAACAACTTACCACTTCTCCAAAGGCAGATAAAATCTCCTTTGCTTCATCAAGAAAATCAAGAAGCTTCCTGTTGAACTACTTCAACTTCCTCCTGCTACCTACATCTTGCCCATCACCCACAAATGTCTGCTTCTGTCCTCACCCTTCCTTCTTTCTCTGGCCTCACTTGCTGAGGTAGCATCCTTTGTCTTGAGGAAGGTTGAATCCTACGTTCTACAGTCCTTCCCTGTCAAATCTCTTGCTCTCTCTAGCATTCTTAAGTGTGCGTGTATATGCACACCTACACGTACACTACACTGAAGGTCAGCAAATCTAGAAATGTTATTTTAATGTTAGTTTATCTGTATTTTCAATTACTTGAAAGCATGATACTGTTTTTGGCACTCTAGATACCTTTCTATGGCCTGTTAGCCCTTGTTCAATCCATCCAACGTGATCTTTCTAAAACTGAAAGTGGATCTTAACATGCCCAATAGTTCTCCTATAATGGTTATGCTAAACAGGTTTCAGCAGAGCTTGCAAAGACAGACTAAGAAAGCAAGCCAGCCAATGAAAACCCTAGGAACCACAGTGGTCTGATCCCGTTATGTGTAGGATGCCATGAGGTGAAGCCTGACTCAATGGCACCTAACAATGATGACAACACATTGAAGACACTCTCAACTTATGAAATCCCTGAGGTACAGTCTGCAGTGTGTACAGTGTCCTTCTTGTTTAACTACTGAGCCTCAGCTTTTGCTCTTTCCTTTCTCTACTTATACTCTGGTAAAACTAGACTAAAAGAAATGGACATGCCTTACTCTCTTGCATCTCTGATTCTTTGCAAATACTGTCTTCTCTGATTGGCATGCTCTCCAATCAACCCTTCCAACTGCTAAACTCCTACTTATACTGTAATTCTCATCTCAAATGCTACTCTGTGGATCCTTTTTGCTTTCTCCTGGCATGACTTTCACATTCTTTTCTCATGCTCCTTCACTCTTCTTGCACTATAGCAATTGTCTTGCTGTACTGAATATGTTCACTTGCATTTTTATCTTCCCACTAGATTAAATCTTCTTGAAGACATGGAACTTCTTTTTGTCTTTGTATCCTCAAGAACCTCACATATTGTCTCTCACTTGGTGCTTACAATATATTTAATGAGTGATCTTTTTCTTATATATATATTTTTGCAGTATTAAGATATATTTGCACTATAAAATACAGAATCAAGCTACGTTTTCAACACATGAGAAATGAGGGAGTAAAGGGTTTTGTAAGAATTACTGGAGAAAAGGGAAGCATACAAAGAAAAGAGATATAATAAGTAGGAAGAATGAATAACCTCTTAAGTGAATGGCCAATCAGTAATGAAAATAATCTTTTAGGGCTTATAAGAGCTTTGAATCCCTTGGTAAACAAATTCCCATTGCTTGGGATGCTCAGCTTCTGTTTTGGCATAGTGGAAGTGGTGCTGACTTACTCATTCTAATGATTATTTCTAACAATAAAGAGTTCCTTGAGTATGTAGGTGAGCAAGCTATTGTTCTGTATTAGGTCACTAACAGAATTGCTGTGACAGAAAGAAACACTCAAAACTCCTAACTTTTCAAGGATTTACTGAGTTAATCACTAGGAATATGAAGATAACTAAGACATCTACCTTGCCCTCAAGAAGCTCATAGTTTTGTGGGAGAGACAGCTATGTAAATAAATATCACAGACTATGTAAGTATGTAAGGAGCTCTGGTGGCTTAGTGCCTAAGGCATGTGACAGCTAACCAGAAGGTTGGCAGTTCAAACCCACCAGTGGCTCCGTGGAAGGAAGATGCAGCAATCTCTTTCCATAAAGATTTACTGCCCTGGAAACCCAATGGGGGTCACTATGAGTTGGAATGAACTTGATGGCAGTGAGTTTGCTTTGGTCTAAGTATATGTACGGGTAAAAGAAAGCCATTCCTCAGAAGGAAGATTGGGCGATCTACTTTTGTAGTGATATTGCCTCGGAAACCCTAGGAGGGGTCACTATGAGTTAGATCCGACTCGACAGCAGTGAGTTTGGTTTGATTAACTGAGAAGAACACAGAAGTTCCATCTAACTTGGGTTTTGAATGATGAGAATAAAATTCAGATGAACAAGGTAAGGAAAGGGCCTTTTAGAGAGAGGGAGCAGCATGCACTTAAGAGTGAACCAGAGTGTCATGTTCAGACACTATGGAACACTCTGATGTGCCTGAAGTATAAGGTGTGAAGTGGTATGTAATAAAGCTGAAGAGGTAGAAGGGGTCAGCTCAGAGACCTGATATCAATGAAACGTATCAAAAAACTTGGTTAATAGGAAGTCTGAGAAGGCAATAGTTAAGAAAGGTCACCAGGGCAGCAATAACAGTGGCCTGTAGTGTGAGACTAGTTAAAAGGCAAATATGGTATGCTTAGCTGAGAGATGATGAAGGATTGAGCACAGAGATTAGCAGTGGAGACAGAGACAAGAGAACAGCTCTGAAAGACATTTAGGAAACAGAACTGATGGGATCTACTGATTACCTGGAGGGCAGCAGAGTACTGGTGGTAGGGGAAGGAAACAGTGACAAGAAGGCAGAGTGGGGGTTTTGGATTTCGTGGCTAGGTAGATGATGTCATCAACCAAGGCAGAGAAGAGGAGAAATAAAAGCTTTAATAAAGAAAAAAGAAATCTATGGCATATTTACAACATTTTCTCTAATCATTAAAACATGTACATGATGTAACTTTTTGAAGAAAATAGATAGGACTTACCCTAGCTAAGAGTTCAAACTCTGGAGCAAAATTTTGGCAAGGTCCACACCATGGAGCATAGAAATCAACCACCCAGTGATGTTTCCCTTGTAAAACTTTTTCATTAAAAGTCTGAGGTGTCAGATCTATGGAGGCTTGAGGTAAAAATCTGTGAAAGGAATCACAATTATTTCCCATTATAAAAAAAACAAAGCATACACTTGAAATGTAATATTGCAAGGCTTTCTAAAATAAAAATGACCAAAGAAAAGCAATGTAGTAAAGCACAGGTGTATCTTTGTAAATTATAATTCTTTATCTTACCAAGTGTGTTAAAATGTTAAAATTTTAAACAACAATAAATTTTAACAATAGGCATAAGAGAATGGTAAATAGCTTATAATCTATTTATACAGTGATACATTTTTTAATTACTCACCCTAGACCCCAGATTCTTAGGGAATATGCATCTCTATTCCAACCATTGTAACTACTGCAAGGGAAAAAAAAAAAAAAAAGCAAGCTGTAGAAAGTATCACTGCAAATATACAAAAAAAACTTAGTGTAGAAATGGCGACTTCATCTAGCCTCAGTCTTCTCAGATAGATCCCCTCACAACTAATGTTTACAAGGCTTCCCAAATACATTTTTCTTTAGTCTTGATGTCTTTTTGAGCTCTAGACCTACCCACCAGACATCTCCTATAGACCTGTGGGAACAGCAAACCGTAGATGTCTGAGGCTTTAGTTTCTGAACTTTTATTCAATCTATTAATGTCTGTCAAATTCCTATCCATTTTTTAAAATCCATGTTAAGACATCTTGGAAATGCATCATTACATGATGTCCTGAAATAGTTGTGATTTCTTTTTTCTTTGAAATAATCCATGCTTCTTTTTACTTCTTTAGTAATTTTTATCATATTCTGCCTAGGATGTGAGTTTTCTACATGAACTATGTGGTGTTATGGAAAGAGCATGGGAACATGATCTTATCAATAGATGCAGAAAAGGCATTTGATACAATCCAACACCCATTCCTGATCAAAACTCTCAGCAAAATAGGATTAGAAGGGAAATTCCTCAACATAATAAAAGGTATCTACACAAAACCAACAGCCAACATTATTCTCAATGGAGGGAGACTGAAACCACTCCCCTTGTGAACAGGAATGAGGCAAGGATGCTTTCTACCTCCAGTTCTATTCAACACTGTACTGGAAGTCCAAGCTGGGGCAATAAGGCAAGAAAGGGAAACCAAGGGCATCCAAGTTGGTAAGGAAGAAGTAAAACTATCCCTATTGGCAGATAATATGATTCTATACACAGAAAACCCAAGAGACTCAGCAAGAAAATTACTGGAACTTATTGATACAAGATCAACATCCAAAAATTAGTTGGATTCCTCTACACCATCAAAGAGATTTCTGAAAAAGAAATAAGGAAATCAATACCATTTACAATAGCTACCAAAAAGATAAAATACTTGGGAACAAATCTTTCCAGGAGCACAAAAGACCTATACAAAGAAAATTACAAAATACTACTTCAAGAAAGTATAAGAGATCTACATAAATGAAAGAACATACCATGTTTATGGATAGGAATATTGAATATCGTGAAAATATCAATAGTACCCAAAGCAATCTATACATTCACTGCAATCCCAATCCAGATTTCATCAACATTCTTTAAAGACATGGAAAAACCAATCACTAATTTTATATGGAAAAGAGACCTTGGATAAGCAAAGCACTACTGAAGAAGAAGAATAAAGTAGGAGGCCCCACCCCACACTCTCAGATCTCAAAAACTACTATACAGGCACAGTTGTCAAAAACAGACTGGTATTAGTACAATGACAGATACACAGATCAGTGGAACAGAAATGAGAACCCAGGAATAGATCCATCCACCTATGGTCAGCTGATTTTTGACAAAGGTCCAAAATCCATTAAATGGGGATATAGTCTCTTTAACAAATGGTGCTGGCAAAACTGGGTATCTATTTGTGAAAAAATGAAAGACGATCCATACCTCACACCATACACAAAAACTACCTCTAGATGGATCAAACAGTTAACTGTGAAACCTAACACTATATAATCCAACAAAGAAAATATTGGTGTAAACTTAAAGGCCCTAGTTTATGGCATAAATAGATTAACAAGGATAACCCTAAATGCACAAACAGTAGCAGGTGAACTGGATGATAGGGACCTTCTAAAAATTAAATTCTTATGTGCATCAAAAGATTTCTCCCCAACAATAAAAAGAGAACACATAGAACGGGAAAAAATGGTGCCTGGCTACCACTGTCAACCACTCAGAGGGGATCTATGTAGGAGATCCTGGATAGAGAAGGAGAACAATGTGGAACAAAACTCAAAATCATTTGGAAAATAAAGGGGGGCTGGGTGACCAGGTTTGCTGGTCTGATAGAGCCTAGTGGAACCACTGAGACTTTGGCCCCTAGCTGCCCTTCAGGTCTGAAATTGAACCTACATCCGTGGTTTCCAGCCAAACAAAAGACAGGCATAGGAGTTGAACATTTACCTGAGGTAGATACACTCCTTGGAGAGAA